ATGCTTGGCTTATAGAAGAAAAAATGAATGTTTTTTAATAAGAGGAAGAAGCAAGGAGAATTTTTCACAATACCCCTGGGAACCATATCTGGGTCACAGTTCTGATTAAACAAAACCACAATACTGGCTTTTTCCCCTCTCAGGTTTCAAACCTGAGAATATTTCACAAACTATCACAACTCTAACACAGTTGCCTTGAAAGGAAAAATCAAAAAGGGGAAAAGACTTAAAATAATAAGAACAATTTCATTTTATTTATGCTCTAAATAGTTCTACTATATATTGCTAGTTACAAATCATCTTAATCTAAAAGACACAAAATCACTGAAAGTGAAGTGTTCTTCCTAAAGTTCATCCACCATGCCTGAATCAGTCCTCTTAAACAAGTCACTACATCATAAAATTTTAGACTAACACCAAATGACAATAATATTTTTAAAAACCTAGATTGTTGATTAATACACAAATCATCTTAAGAACTTCGTTCTGATTTACACTATTCCTCTGCTTCAAACTACTCTTTCTGAATTTGTCTCAGGAAAATTCAAGTCCCTTTTCCCCTCTCACCCTAATTCATGTCTTAGCCTTCTCTAAAGCACATCAGGTATTTAGAATATCTCACTGGCAGCTTATAATATTGCTCAATATTCTTACACTACCTTCAGCAACTCATATCTAAACCAGATTTCCCAAAGTTTTCCATATAAACTAATTAAAACATGATTTAAAAGATTAAAAACAAATTACAATTGGCAAGAGAAGCTGGAGGGAAAGGCTATTATTTAGTGGGCAGAGTTTCAGTTTGGGATTTTGAAAAAGTTCTGGAGACAGTGGGGAACATCTGCCCAGTAATGTGACTGTACTTAATGCTACTGAACTGTGCACTTAAGAATGGTTACTTTGGCCGGGCTCGGTGGCTCAGCCTGTAATCCCAGCACTTTGGGAGGCCAAGGCGAGTGGACTGCCTGAGTCCATGGGTTCGAGACCCACCCAGGCAACTTGGCGAGACCTTGTCTCTACCGTAAATAAAAAATTAGCCAGGTGTGGTAGTGCGCGCCTATAGTTCCAGCTACTTGGAAGGCTGAGGCGAAAGGATCGTCGGAGCCCAGCAGGTCGAGGCTGCAGTGGCCAGGAGAGTGCCACTGCACTCCAGTCTGGGCAACAGAGTGAAACTCCAAAAAAAAAAAAAAAGAACAGTTAATTTTATATATATTTTATCACAATTAAGATAAAAACAAAAAACAAACAACACATTAGTAATAGCACCACAAGTATTCCACTGCTTACTGCTCACCTGAAAAGAATCTTAATAATTTTCTATCACTAAGTTGATCTGGGAATATATAACCCAATTCTGTAATGATTATCCATCAGGGAGTTATGTAGGCACAGTGCCTAGGGTTTACAATAATTTTAGAGGCACAAAAAAATGCTTTCATTTATTTTAAAATAAGAAGAAAAAATAAACTTTAGATCAAAGAAAATGTCTTAATATGTAATACTATATTTTTTATAGCAATGCAGTCATAAATACTTTCAATTTTTTTCTTTACCAAAGAAAAGGACTCTTGAAGGCAAAAGTAAGACGAAAGTCTTAATATGGCCCTATGCTTACTATTTTCTAATATGAGATTATCAAGGTATACCAAAGAAAGTAAAAACACAACTGGACATGCATGTTGTTTAATAAAACAGAATTTTTTTTTTTTTTTTTTTTTTTTGAGTTGGAATCTCACTCTGTCACCCAGGCTGGAGCGCAGTGGCACAATCCCGGCCACTGCAGACTCAACCTGCTGGGCTCTGGCAATCCTTCCGCCTCAACCTTCCAAGTAGCTGGAACTACAGGCGCGCGCTACCATGCCCCACTAATTTTTTTGATTTATTGTAGAGATGAGGTCTTGCCAAGCTGCCCAGGTGGGTCTCGAACCCATGGGCTGAGGCAATCCACTCACCTCAGCCTTCCAAAGCGCGGGATTACAGGCTGAGCCACCGAGCCCAGTTTAAAACAAAATTCTTAAAGAGAAATTGCACACATGAGCAATTATTTAAGGCTCGGCTTTAAAAAAAAAAAAACAAAAATACCTCAATAGTATTAGAACAGTACCTCAATTATTATTTAATCCTTTTCAAACAACTCTTATGGGCAAAAGCTATCATAAGATATCCCACTTACACAAACAAATAAATGCTTGGAAATTATTAGTGAAGATTTAAGAGAACCAGAGAGCAGTAACTGTTAAGGGAATAAAAAGTGGAAGAAGAGAAAGAAAAACACACTGATTAAAAGAACAAAGAGAGCCATCCTCATTATCGAATTTACTAAAGCTGGAAATACTAAGCAAATTCATAGACTTAGTACAGTGTCAATTAAAATATCCAATGGTAACTCAAATATTAAGATATACTGAAAGAATGTAGTCTAAAAACAAATTTGAAAAAACAAAAAATGAGCATGTATCTAAACTCACTGATAGCGGGCAAAAACAAATGGAAAATATTTTTTAAAGCTACAAATCAGTAAATTTCAAACGTAAGGAAGCAATATAAATAGGGAAAAGAATAATTAAAATATTTCTGGAACAATAATGTTAACACTAAGAAAACAAATTGATCTCCGTTCATTATATATCATACAGAATTTCAAATGGGTTACAAACTGATTTTTTTAAACTAGAAAAATCTGAAATATTTCTCATACGGAAAGGGGGCTTGTCTTTTGATTTCAAGCAACCGACCAAATTATTACAGGAACTGTCTACAAAATGAAGAACACCAAAGTAAAGATGAAAAAAAACCCAACAGATTTTAGAAAGAGAGAGGAGGGGCTTGCAACTGGAATGCTAGATAAAAGTTTATCACCAAAATATGTGTCCATGGGTCTAGGTGGATACTCAGTCTTCAACAGACAAACTGTCACAAAATAAGACTTTAATCCAAAGAGGGCACAGTTGCACCCATTTAGCCAAATGCCAAGTACTGTTATAAACACTTTATATGTTAACTAAGCTCACAGTCACAAAAACACCCTCATGAAGATGGTATTATTTTTATTCATATGTAGCAAATTTGAAAACTGAGGTCCAGAAAGGTAAGTGACTTTCCCAGTGTGACACAGCTAAGTGGTTAGAGCCAGGATTTGATCCCAGGTAGTCTCACTCCTGAGTCCACTATCTCAGCCACTAAGTTATCTGCTTCTGTCCCATGTACAACAAAAACTCACAAACCTACAAATCCTACAAATCTACTAGATTTACTATATCTACTAAATCTAAGTTCTCTAGATATAAGTTACTAAAATTCAGGACAAAACATGAATAAGAATAGTTCTGACAGAATGCTTTGAGGATTCAGAGGACCATGATATTATTGTCCATAAAGGGGACAAGGAAAGGCTTTGCAGAAGAAATGATGGATATGAGACACAGAGATATGAAATGAGAAAGGAAAACATTCCATGCTCAATGAAAAGAAGGACTAAACACATTAACCTAAGGTAGAAAAGTAATGGCAATTCAAATAGTTGAGTTGAAATGAATGTTATACGGGGGGAAATAAATGAAAATGAACAATTCAGATGACTAGATTTAGACTTAAGTATAGGAGGTGAGGGAGTAGCATGAACACAAGTATTATACGGCAACTGGATATAAGAATTAGAGAAAAAGGAATGCACATGTATCACGGAGTAGTTACTCAAATTTCAATCAAATTAATAAACCAGGTCAGAAAGAACACCTAAAACATGAAGACAACAAAGGGGATGGATGGGGTCACAACTGGGAGAATCTTTGGGAACCTAACAGGAGAGCAAATTAGGGGGCAAAAAGTATTAGAGTGAAGGGGTCGACAAGCCCTGAAGATAACTGCCCCCGCACAATTTGGTCACACTCAATAAAGTGATTAAGGAGAATTTAAAGTAACAACATTTTGAGAGAGATTATGAAGACAGAAGGATGGATTTTAGTAATAAAATTAACGTGGAGTGACTCCGAGGTTTTGCGGGGGGGGGGGGGGGGGGGGGAGGAAAGAAGGTATAAAGCAAAGAGAGATAGGCTTTCTGGTTTCTAGATTATGTGATTTAAGGTTTATACGGGATGATATCCAGAAAAGATGCTGTGTCCACAGGACTACCGCTTGGGTAAGAAGAATAAGAGCTGAAAACACAGATGTCACCCTCATAAAGACATCTGAAAGTTATGAGATTTCAAAAGAAAAAATATGGATAAAGGAAAATTTAAGGAATATTTCTATTTAGAAAGTAAAGAAGAAGCAAAAAAAAAAAAAAAAAGGCACTGTCAGAGGTTTGAGATTACCATTAGAAAAACCAAGTACAATGCAGCAGTGCTTCCTAATCTTTGTCACATGAAAGTACACAAGTAAGACAATACCACTTGTGTGGAACAATGCAGTAAATGAGACTATTAGCCTAGGAACTGAGGAAACCATTCATATGCATACCAGTTAATTTGACTGCTGTACTGTTTGGAAAGCTCTATTATATATGCCAAAAAAGTTTAACATCCTATTCCCCTTTTTCTCTTTCACTAGTCACTGATTTAGGTGGAATGTTGCAAATGTGACTCTAAAAATCAGTAGAAAAGACTAGATTTCAGAAGGAAAATAAGGAAGAAGGTAATTAATTAAAGCATCGATGTTTTACCAGTCATGTTACTCTAACTGGTTAAAAGGAGTAACCATAATGGGATATTTTTCAAATCTTTCTAATAAAACCACTCTCTTATTCAATTAACTTATAACTATAATACACTGTGCCTCTTAACCTTTTTCCTTTTCTCAAGAGATGGGGTTATCACCATGCTGCCCAGGCTGCAGCACACTGGCTATTCACAGGCATGATCATCACACCACAGCCTGGAACTCCTGGGCTCAAAAGAGCCTCCCACCTCAGCCTACCGAGTAGCACAGACAACTGCACTCAGCCTTTCATGTTTACAGTAAGGAAGAGTTAATAAAAATTCTCTGAAACTTTGAATACTTACCCAGTCCGAGACTGACCAACTTTATCACAAATATCCAAAATGAGGCCCCAGTCTTCAGCAGTATTCATCTCACTGGTGGCTTTCTCTGTAGATTGTAAAAGGAGTTGCAGAAACATTATTTCAAATATTTAAAACACATAATCACATTTAAATAATCAAACTGTAATATAATCAAGTCTCAACAACAAATCAGAATTGTTGTCAACATTCCAGTTAATAAGATTTTCATGTTCATCTTTAAAAAGAGGAGAGATACTCTTATTACATATTGCAATTATTTTCCCCATTCACACTTCAGTTGCTCTTTACTTAGAATACAAATAAACTGTTGAATTTTTTCTTTATAAAAAAGTTATATACAGGTCTATCACCACCTGCAAATAGGATTAAAATAAATATCATTTTCATTATCAAAAGATTCTTAGCTTTACTTGCTCGTAAAGAAACGTGGGCTAGGCACAGATCTCCATCAAAATGTTTTAGGTAATTAAACTAATTCGTTAGCTATTTTTGTTGATTTGTTTTTTTGAGAATGTGGAGGGGGGATTAAGTAAAAGAAATCTAAGCTTTGGCGGAGTCAAATAAAAGTAAAACTTGACATATTAAAAACATCAATAGAGGTAAGGCAGATTAAATACAATCATTTAATTTAGCTCTCTTAATTGCAATAAACGGATTTTTTAAAAGATAAACACCCAAGAACAAGGAAAACATGAAAAGCAACAAAAGTAATAATATCTCAAAAGTTATTTAACAATATAGATATATGGTAACATATTTAGCAGACCCAAGAAAGGAGAATCATATGTTGGCAGTAAGAAAAAAAGCTCAAGAACCAGCCTGTCTGACACCATCAAATTCTCATAAGGTTCAAGAACAGGCAGTAGACAGAATGTCTGGAATTGAGAGTAAAGAAGAAAGAGAACTTAAGTTTAGGAGGAATTAGCAAATGCTGTCTGAAACATAGGCTGGTCACAAATTTGCCTTCCTTATTCAAGAGCACTAGCAACTATCACTCCCCAAATGAAGCAAAAGAATGAAGGTTTGTTTGCTGGAGGCCAACTAAAGCTTTTCTAGACTAGTAGATACCAGGTGTAGTAGAGACACAGTCACAAAAATAAAGCAATTACTTCTGGTTTTCAATCCAGTATCTAAGGGGTTTGAAAGTCGTAACTCCATTCTGACAAGTAAAAAGCTGAACAAACTGAAAAATTAACAACTCCTTTGATCCTTAAGGAGCCAACGGCTGACCCCAAAATTAGAGAAACAGGCAGATACAGAGAATTACAACTTACCACAGGCAGAAATCTCCACAGGAACCAATGTAGGTTGGAAAACTTAAACTATAATTGACCAACTGCTGGAGACTCAGTAAGAAGTATAAGAGTTAAAAACTCCAGGGAAACTGAATCATCCAGGGAACTCCATACCTTTGTGAGTTTTAACTCCACGAGTTATGCTAGGTTCTCAAAATGAATATATGAGAAAAATTCCCTCGTGCTACTGGAAGGAAGAGGGGAAAGCGAACCATTTTGAAATACAACTGAGGAATAAGCTCTTCTTAACAAGGTCCATCCTTAAGAGAAACTATTTTACTAGTGCCTAACCAAATGGGGTTTTACCAGAGGTTAACCTTCCTGAGGTAAAGGAAATTCCCAGCTTCAGCTTCCCACTTGGGGGAAAGGAAATATCCAACTATAGCACACTCTAGCCTTCTGTCCCACCTAATTTGAGAAGTTCATGGTCTAGGGACACAGACTTACTAAAAAAACTGAGACCTAATCATAGGACTCTAGTATGCTTGCCTTCCCACCATACCTTACTATAACACAACTAAAGCCTATTTAAAGGTCTAGAGTTCCTCTTCTCCAGTGCACAAGTCTGGGTTTCAGCAAAAACTTACAAGGCATATTAAAAGACAAAAAAAGTACAGTTGGAAAAAAATAGAAAAAACATCAGCACCAGACTGAGATACAGCAGGGATATTGGAATTATCAGACCGAGAATGTTAAAACTGATTAATACACGAAGAACTCTGATGAAAAAAGTAGAGGACATGCAAGAATGACAAACAATTTAAGCAGAGAGATTGAAATTCTAAGAAAGAATCAAAAAGGAATGCTAGAGACCAAAAACTAAATAAAATGAAAAATGCTTTGATGGGCTCATTAGTAGACTGGATATGGCTAAGGAAGAATTGCTGAACTTGAAGATATGTCAATAGAAACTGCCAAAGTTGAAAGCAACGAGGAAAAAAGGACTGGAAAATAAAAGGGAATAAAATATGCACAATGGAACAAGTACAACAGGTGTAATATATACATAATAGGAAATACCAGAAGAAAAAATAGGAACAAAAGAAATATCTGAAGTGAAAAGACATAACATGATGTCAATACAGTTAATGGGCAATCATTTTAACATTGGTTAGCTTTGTCATGGTTTTTAGTGGTTCACTTTAATTTAGCCTGTAATCACTAGCCAAGGACAGAGCTGATTTCTTGGAGGTAGGTATTGATAATTGATTTGCAACATCCTCGCCAGCTGGTTTCATAAACAAGTTAATCAGCTCTTTATGACCTTCAAGAAACAGATCCCATCAACATGGCAGCAGTCATGTGACTGACCTACCCTTCTGCCTGCCATCCAACACACGGGTACCTGTGCTTACCTGCCCTTCATGATGACACAGAGCAGACCACCACCCAATAACCTTAACAACCTTCCCCCATCAAAGGGAAGGCTTAAAAGGATTCGACTTCAAGCAACCATTTGCCATTACTTTGTTAAACTCTGGTGTGTCCACGTGGTACTTTGAGTTATGGTCACATGTTTTCCTAGCTTTGGATCCCTCTCCTACCTTGGGGAAGTAAATCTACTCTCTCTCTTATTTACTTTCTAAATAAACTATGTTTTTCTATCTAATTTCTGTGCAATTCTTTGCATCCTTTGTGTGGCAGCGGATCACAACTCAGATACTCCCCCGTCAGGTCTGACCTAACATTTTGGAAACCCAGCTGGGATTTTTAATCAAACTTGAAGTAATAATGTCTGAGAGTTTCCCTCAATTAAATGTCAGATACCAACCACAAATCCAGGAAGCTCCAAGAACATAGAGAAGAATATATATATATAAACCTATGCATTGGTATCTTTTCTAAAATATGCATTCAATGCTATAAATTTCCCTATTTTCTGCTTTTGTTGCATTCCACAAATTTTGATAATGTGTTTCTATTTTAATTTAGTTTAAAACATATTAAAATTTATTTTGAGATTGTTTCATTTGACTCATTGTTTAAAAGTATGTTATTTAGTCTTCATGTATTTTGGAACTTTACAGCTATCTTCTATTACTGATCTCTAGTGTAATTTCATTGTGGTCTGAGCAGACATTGTGTGATTTAAATTTTTAAAAATTTTTTAGGGTACAGTATTGTAGGTTGAAAATTATTTTCTCCCAACACTTTAAATATTTCACTCTGCTCTCTTCTTGCTTGCATGGTTTCTGAGAAATATGATGTATTCTTATCTTTTCCCCTCTATTGATAAGTTACTTTTTTCTTGTGACCCAATAATGAAATTCCCACTTCCATCCTTTCCTCAATGATTTGCACCCTGGTTCTACAGAGGACACTCATTTTCCCATTTTAACATACTAATGCTAAGACTGAAAGCAGGAAGTAGGTCATGCAGAAAATACAAAGCAGCCAACTCTGACCAAATTCTTTGCAGGCTTATAAATACCTAATCTATATCACAGCATCAACTACTAGTCACTACCTCTAGAGAACTAAAATAAGCATCTAGTAAAGAGAAAATGAGTGATAAACAATGGGTACTAGTAGGTATGACAACTATGCCTAGCCACCCTACAATCTCCTAATGTGGAAGATAATAATAGCAGGTAATCCCACAAATTAATTCCTTGTCTAAGAATGAATACAAAAGTCCAAACAATTTGTGATCTTAGATAAAGAGATTTACTTGCAGGAAATGACAAAATGTGAACATATATTCAACCCAACGGAATGAACTTCCAGTCCTTGCCAGATCCAATCCAAAGTAGCTTACAATCTAAAAAATGAAATAAAACCAGCCAATAGATGCTTAAATAGAAGATAGAAAAAGTATCAAAAGAATAATGCAAAGCAAGATGAAAGAAAGGTAAAGCACCTGGAGGGAGAGAGGAGGAGAATTGGGAAAGACTTCTTGATATATTTAGAAACTAATAAGAGAACAGAACTAATAATGAACTCTCATTTCTATTTAAGTGAATAAAGCAAAAAGAAAAGTTATGAAAACAGAAGTATAATGAAGAATTCAGACTGGCTGAAATACAGACTATTTTGTGAACATTTGGAATAAGAGAATCACACTAAGACCTAAAATGCTAGATGAAGTGTCTGTATTGATTTAAGAAACATCAGAGAGCCAGGCAATCAGAATTGGACTTTTTGAAAAGAATTAATGTATCACCAATATGTAAAAATGGTTTGAAAGCAGGAAAAGAAAACAAGAGAAACTAACATTACCCAGATAACTAAATAAGATATTTAGAAAGCAAATGATGAAATGCAGTTCAATTCTGTTCTGGTTAGAGGATATGCTGAGAGAAGAACCAACTCAAACTTACCTATCATTTTCAAGTTTCCATAATATGATGTAAATCTCCTGGAAATAATAAGTTTTACTTTATGGAATTCTTTTAATAGCCACGCTCTTGGCCTAAATGCTCAATAAATGCTAAGACTAGTCATGTATCTGCAATATAAATCCATAAAATGTCAGACATGCATAGACCTTACATAGTATCTAGTTCAATCATTTTCAAACTTTACCTCAAATATAGAATACCTTTATTATGCAATCCAAACTACCCAGAGGGTTAGCAAACTTCTGATGCCAACTACCGAGAGGTAGCACAGACTTTCCAGATTGAGGGCACAGTTCTTCACAAGATTCCCTTCACTTCAAACACTAAGCACAAGCTCTGGGATTTCCAGGTCACCCCAGACATTTCTGACCAACTAGTCACAAATTTGGGGATTCTCACTACCATCTTAGATTTGATAATTCACCATA